ATTAGAGTAGTCGACATCTTCGTCTTCCATGTCTAAATTTCACTTCGTTTATATATACATTGAATAATAATGACACTTGCACGATTCTACTAATTCACTAATTGCTACCAAGAAAATTAAAGCGTCGCTTTTACAATATTTTTCTTAGACTTGACGTTACGCTAAATAATTTGAGAATCTGCTTTTCCGAATTGAGGTTAGAAATAATTCCCGGGATTTTCTTGTTTTGTGGGGAAATTCGAGACAAATGGGGCAAAAAATTAAAATTCATGAGTTGTCGCTCTTTTCTTTGGATAATTATTGCGCTGTTTATAGTGAGGGCGATATTAACAGAAACGACGGCACGATAATATATATAAAACAGAGTCTTAGCTGTGGTCAGAAGATAATCAAGATTGGACAATCCAGAGTAATACAAATAACAGTACACACTCAAATTTAAATTATTTTATTGAGAACTTAGAGTCATATTAAGGAATAAAAACCGAAAGTCAATGCCATTTCGTCGTTGGGGATCTTAACATTGATTTATTAGAGAAAACGGACGAATTGGCTACAAATTACTCTAATATTTTATCAGAGTTTAACTTTATTTCTGCTATCAACAAAGTAACAAGACCACGATCTGGAACATGTTTAGACTACATATTTATTAATAGCAGTCCATTTAACGAAAATCATAACTCTCTGTTTCTCGGCAATTCTGCAAACTTCCATCACAGACCAATATGGGATAACAGTACATGTACACTGTGAACTAGGTAGTATAATACCAACTAATAAAATTATAAAAATTAAAAAAACTGATATAAACAAACTGGAACCTGTGCCGATATAGAGGAGAAAACAAATTATTTTACACAAATTCTTCTTATTGTACTGTATTTAAAAACAAAGTAAAAAAAAGAAAACCATGGATAATAAAAGGTTTAATTAAATCAGTAAAGGAAAAAAAATGACGTATATAAAAAAATGAAGGCACGACCTATGAATATTGAGCTAAAAAATAGATTCATAAATTATCGAAGCATTCTTAATAAATCAATAAAAAACGCCAAAGCTAATTATTATAAAGAACAAGTATTAAGCAATGAGATGTGCCCAAAAAACCTCTGGAAAGTTGTTAAATCTATAAGTAGCAAACCGAATACAAATATCCCCAGTATCCAAGTAAATAATGTAAATCCAGAAATCACCGATAAAAAGACAATAGCAAACGAATTTAACAAATTCTTTTGAGGTATAGGGCAATAAATAGCAGGAAAAATTAAAGAACCGCAAAGTCGTAAACCTATAAGACATAAACCAACAAAAAACTTTGTTCTACATAATACATAATAATGAAATACAGGAAATAATTACTACTGATCGGATGCACATCCTTAAAATAAAAATAAAAAAATTCATCGCACAAGTGAACAGATACGAAATACGAGAGTTGATTTGACTCTTCCATTCTTTCAATTAAAGACTTTGTTATGTATATATCTGCGTCTTTTATTGTGCATATAGAGGAGAGGGTTTCTATTGGCATCGATTAGTGTAATTTGGCTGGGTATAAGATAATAGTCATGTTACTGAATTTTAGAGTGGATAGTATTTACTAATGTTGATGATTATTTTCTGTTTATTGATGTTTATTTTAGTTTGGAGGTCCTACATTTTGTGCAAATTTATGCGAGAAAGTCATGGACAAGCCTCACTTAAATGCTAAGAATGTTGTTTTGTAATATATACTTTTCCAAATAAATAATGATCAGTTCTGAAAATCCTTGGAATCAATATGATTCATTTACCAAATGTATTATGTATCGACCATCGATTTCACAATTGAAAAATGTCAGTTTGCAACTGTTAGTATTTCGAAAACAATAGTATTAACAAATTCACCAATGGGCTCTCCACTCAATTTAGATTTTTACCCTATCGGGCTTAGCTCTTTGGGAAGGGGTGGATCAAACATAAGTTTTTTGATTTTGTCTTCGAACAATTTAAACATAGAATTTTTTAAAATGAACTGGGTGTTACTTAAAATGAAGGATTTTGGTACTATAAATGAAGATTAAAATAATTTTAAATCATTGGTTAAAGGTTATAAAAAATCAATCTGTATTACTGATTAACTAAATAGATTTCCTTTTTAGAAGTGAGTTAATTGTATTATTGTAACATCATGTATTGAAATGGCATACTTAGTTTATGTTGAAATTATTTTTTTGTAAGTCATTTATATATTATTGAGAGAAATACTACGAAAAACAAATTTGAATTATTTTGTATTTCGTATTTCTTGTATTATTATTACATCATTTCTTCAAATGGTATACTTAGTTTATGTTTGAATTAATTTCAGATATTATTCAGAGACATGCTAGGTAAAAACAAGTGAGGATTAAATGTGCAAGTACCCTAATTTCATTTATTTTATTTTCATATATCTTCTATTGTAACTTTATTCATTCAGATAGAACACGTAGTTTATGTTTGACTTAATTTTTTCTTTCATTTATTTATTATTGAGATAAATACAAGGTAAACCCAAGCAAGGATTGAATATGCAAATACCCTAATTGCAATTATTTTTTATTTCATATAACTTGTATTATTGTAACGCGATTCATTCAAATGGAATACTTCGTTTATGTTTGGATTTAATTTTTTGTCATTTAGATATTGTTGATAAAAACACTAGTTAATACAGTTTTTTTAAAAAAACTGATATAACATTTCGTATGAGTCATTTTCTTCATAAAGAAAAGCCAGGCAAAAATTATTTTTTACGATAGAAAATACCTGAATTCTTTTGGCAATATAGGGAAATTCTATGAAATTTAAGGAAATATAGGGAAATACTGGGAAATATTTCGGTAATACGAGAAAATACAGGATGTACAGGGAAATATTTTAGTATTACGAGGATATAGGTAAATTATAGGGAAATGCTGGGGAATATCTAGGTAATACAAGGTAATATAAGGAAATATCTCCCCACGGGGAAACATTTATCCAAATTTCGGGTGGTGGTTCCTCCCTCCTCTAAAACCAATTGCGAGAGAATATATTGCTGGTGCAATTTTTCAGCCAAACAGACTAGAGGATTGATCGTTTGAAATATCTATTTTCCAGGCTTAAATCGTCCGAGCTTTCGTTTGAATCGAGAGCGTTCCATTACTCTGGTTTCTTAACGAACAGAGTGTGGTCGGAAAACGGCGAAACACACATTTACCCTTTGAAATTTATCGACCGACGTTAACGCGGCGAAATTACATTTTGTTTTGCGAGGATTATCCACGGATAAAAAGCCATTAGCCTCGAGTGCGCTTCAATACTGCGAGCAAATCAATTTCGAGCAAAAAAAAGAGTACCCTTTGCTAAGGGCTAGCTCGGACGAAATGAAAATATCACCCGTTCGATCCGCGGGTTTTTGCAACGCGATCGATCGGTATTGGAAACATACGTTCTGAGTTTAATGTCTCTATTGTGGAAATTATTAGAGAGAAGAGCAGATGTAAGGTGTTTTAATTCGTGTGTAAAATTGTCCAAACAAGATAGATAGATAGATTTTTGTTTGACTAAATTATAATACTTAGTATGTTTACAGCATGTCTAAGTATAAAAAAGAAAAAAAAATAGAATTATACATACGATTAGATAAAGTCTACAATGATAATTCGATGATCAAACGAACTTACCTGGTAAGTGAAGAAATCAAAATACGTAGTCCCCCTTCTAGTCGCTAGGTCGCATCACAGCTTTAAAGCAGAGCCAAAAAACTGTAGAATAACTTACCATGCACGGTATATTCGCCATCTATGGTCTTAACCTCATTCTATTTTAAAGCCCGTTTATAATAAATTTGCCAAAGGGCATTTTAGTACTGTTCAGAACAGTACATTGGGCAGGAATGGGTGATTTCTACGAAGAGGTGTAACATATAATTACAATCGAACTTCACTTACCAGGTAGGTTCGTTTGATCATCGAATTCTATGAAATCAAAATACGTAGACTTTCAAAGGCAACTCAGCAAATTTGTTATAAAACGATTTTATTCGGCTATATAAGAAAATCCAAACCTTATGAAGTTTATGAAAGCCTCGAGTACAAATACAAAATAAATGGCTGTCCGAGAAAACAAACATTCTGAAAAATTCTATGTCGCAAATGTGGCATTAACAAAAAAGCCTGCACCTGCTGTACAAATTTAGAGCGTTCTCACCAATTTGCCGTTTTTCCTATCATATCAATTGAAACACCTTTACAAAACGCAGACGATGTTGAGGCATGTCGAGTGCTGTGAGCAGTAAAAATAGAAGTGTAGACACCACTATCCTCTAAAGTTATCTTTATTCATCTGCTTATGTTGGGTCTAGTTGCTGCCCTACAAGGCTTTTTAAATGTAATGAGTAAACGAGATTCACTGCCTCTTAAAGCACTGGTCCTCTCAATATAAAACAGAATATTTCAAACCACAAAAAGGTTTACATCTTCATATTTATGCAAAATTAAAAACAGGTCGAGTCTTATTTATAGCTGAAATCTTAATTTGATTCGTTGTTCTAATTTCTAATCCATCTGGAAATGATTTTATTTTGACCAATTCTATAAGAGAGAGCGTTTGGACTCTATGTGCAATCGTTAACGCCAGTAAGAAAACTAATTTAATCGTTTAAATGACAGTTAATTGCTTTAATGACAACAAGTCATTAGAACGTAACACTGAGGGACATAACTAGGGCCCCAAGTGCTATCATATCTTGGTTTACTTGACCTTAGATTATAAACACCTTAAAAAACCTAGTTAGATTTGCATTGTTAAATAATTCTGATCCAAAAATAAGGCCTTGTCTTGTCTAAAGTGAATAGTAAGGAAATCTAATACAGCCTAGGTGAGAGGTAATAACACTCCACTCCCCTCCTTTTGTAGAAGCTCCACCAAAGTTAAAAATTATTATATTGCCTCAAGGTAGCGCTCTGAACAGATGATAGAAAAATATTCAGAGAAAAATATCCAGCGAATCTTCTGGAATGCTTGCCTGACAAAATCACTGCAGCCAGGGTAAGGGATTTCCGCAAAGGGTGACCTCTCCTGTCAAAAGAAGAAGGTAATTTGGGTAATTTGTCTGGGATTAGAAACAATAAATAGCTACAGCGCCTCCCATCAACAATAGGAAACCAATGCTGGCTGTGCCCTTAAGGGATTACTGCGATCCCTGTAGCTCAATCAGCCTTGATTTTTCGGAAAACCCGTGGCAACAAGCAAAACGGGGGGAAAACATAGAAACTGTCGCCCCAACAGTAAACGCGTCTACATTAGATGTCTCCGGATCTCGAAACAAGGAAATAAACATTCTGAATTTCTTACTTAGGAGAGAAGCAAACAGTTCGATTTATGGGAATCCCAATTTACTTGTTATTTTAGCAAAACCATTGTCCGAAAGGCACCATTCACCATCAAAATTGAAATTCGTGGATTCCTTATACGCTTCAAAATTATCGGAAGATCGAATGTAAGATGCTGTAATCCATAACCTCCTTTCTTCACACCAACCCCAAAGGCGCCTCGAAATTTCGATTAAAACAGGAAATTTTACTCCCCCTATTCTATTTACACACAAAATAGCAGTTGTGTTATCAATCCTCAGAAGTGTCTCGCAGTTAGTCAAATAGGAGGCGAAGCAGTAGAGACCAAATGAGGCCGCAGTTAATTCTAGTGCATTAATATGAAGCTGAGCTTCCCTAGGACTCCAAATTCCTCTGGCACAATTCCCTTGGCATACAATTCCCCAACCCAAAGGAGTACCATCTGAGAAAATCTCACGTTTGTAACATTGATGCCTTACAGGACATTCAGGATTCTGTAAACTTTTTAGTCACCACATAAAATCCCTCCGTAAATTACAAGGAATTGTAATCCAAGTATCATAATTATCGACAGAGTCTTGAAGGGCTAGATATTTGATTCTCTCAAAAATTCTTAGTATATACCCAGCTGTAAGAAACTGCTGGACAAACTAAAAACTAGCACACCGCAAAGCTCGGCAAAGACTCTTATTTTGCAACGGTTCAAATTGCAAAACTTACTTATCAGAAAAAACAAGTGATTGGATTCAAAAGGATGTAAAACAAACTTCTCATAATTAATAACAAAACCCGACCTAATCAGAGTGTTGCAGGTTACTTGAACATTTTTTAAGGATAACTATCACCAAATAGTAAAGTTATCTAAATAAACTATTGAGACAAAAGCCTTGGCAGGGAGATAAGCAACCACTGATTTCATTAATTCTGTAAAGACCCACGGGGCGGTGCATAAACCAAAGGGTAACACGTTAAACTGATAACAGAGAGAATCAAAATAAAATCTTAGAAAATTCTTTTGATTTTCAATTATTGGGACTAGAAAATAAGCTTCTTTTAAGTCCAGAGTGGCCATAAAGGACTTCTTTGTGAACAGTGTTTCAACTAACTTTCTGTCTTCAAGTTTAAAATGACAAGTGTCAATAAAAACATTCAGTCTCTTTAAATTTAAAACTAATCAAACCGAACCATCCCATTTTGAAACCAAAAAGGTCTGTGAAATAAATTGATTCTTACAAGGTTCGCAAACTGCAATTGCACCTATCTCTACCAGGTGTTTGACCACATTATAAATTGAATCTTTTTCTTGTTGGGACCAAACAGGATCTGTCGGAATGAAGTCCTGCATAACTGGCCTCGCAAATGGAATTTTATATCCATCTAACCAAGGTAGGATCTGTGCATCTTGAGTTCCAAATGTTCCGGAACTCGTGCAATCTTTCAACAAAAGTACTTACTATTTTTTCCTGGGGGCACAACTCCTCCCCCTCTCCTCTCGAACCTTCCTGTATTCCCTCTTTTGAGGGTGCAATGACTTAACACCCACTTCAGCCTTGGAACTTCCGGGAACGAAGTGGACCGGTCGAGTTTAAATTCGTATGTTATAAAAGCCTTGTTCTGGATGCACCTGGCTTTAACTCGGCCACTAATCTGCAGCTAATCTGATTGATTTGAGCCTATCAACCAAATCTTCTCCAAATAAACAAGAGTCCAAAGAAGCATCATGCAAGGCTGCATGCAAGGCTGCATGTCATTTGAAACCAGCGAAAGGCTTAACGCAGCAGAACTTCTATATACTGAACCTGAATGGTGTATTTTGCTTAGAACACATATTGCATTACTCAACGTTTCAATGAGAAGTAGGGACTACTCATCCTTAACCTGTTTCAAAAGCAAGGTCGAGAGCGCCCTAGCAACCACCATCAAAGCAGCCCCTACTCCTTCTGTGTTGCAGTCAATCTCTCATCCCTTTTCTTTTCACCTTTCTTGACGGCAGATTTCATCTGCACATTCAATTTAGGAGGGTTATTGAGCGGGCAAATCTTCGGCACAGGATATTAACATAAAGGGTCACTGAGACAATCTTCGGACACAAAAAGATATTAATCTGCCTTGCCAAAATGTCATAAACCGGCTGACCCGTCAAACTTTGTGTTGGGACTATCGACCCTATAGCTTAAAGGCCATTTTGCTCTAAATCCGCCTCGAGGAGCTCAACAATGACATCAGAATTAATTGAAGGGCCTAAAAAATATACTTACATTAGAGTAAGTGCATCCTAACAGCCATAAAAAATTCTTCATTATGTACCAGTATCCCAAGCACCTCATCCATAGCCGGACGAGCCAGACAACTCTATTTTTTCGATGTCGAAAAAATATAAAACCATATGTATGGCCGACACCCTCACAAAAGGATTGCTTCCTATTGTGAAACACTTACATACGACTGGTGTCGTATAAGTGGGAAAGATGGGGGGTCTTTCAAGTTCTGGGGATTCCATTCGGAACCCGGACGATAAAGAAATCGTCTCCCAATTGTGAGAAAATCTCGTTGATGGGAACCACGCCACTAGCGATTATGTAATCGCGGACGGAAAGGTAGTAGGTAGGTTCTTTCTTCATCCGATAAGGAAGAAATGTAAATCTCACTTGTACTTCTCCATTTAACTTCCAAAAACGCTGAAAAAAGCTGAAAACACCGACGCCGAATAAAAATGAACATGTGCCACCAAAGCACAAAAAGAGAAATGAGGTAAAGACCATAGATGGCGAATATACCGTGCATGGTAAGTTATTCCACAGTTTTTTGGCTCTGCTTTAAAGCTGTGGTGCCACCTAGCAACTAGAAGGGGGACTACGTATTTGATTTCATAGAAGAGGTGTAACATATAATGGAAATAACAACGTAATACATAAGATGCAAAAACAAATAGGAATAAAATTGAAAAAAAGGAAGATACCGAACACTACCAAACAGGGGCCACCATCAAGAATCGGCTAATCAGGTAATATATTTTATAAGATTTTATTTTGGTTTTAAATTTTTTAAAAAGCAAGTTTGTTACTTGATAATATCCTCCGTTGGATATAATTCTGAAATTTCTTTTTTGCATACGAAAAATTTTTATCGAATCTATTAAGTTTCCCCACAATATAACAGCATATGACAAAATTGAATGAAAAAGAGCATAGTAGCTGCAGACTAGATAATCCTTTCCGATTAAATTTTTCAATCGTCGTAACAAAAAGTTGATACTTGAGAGACGCTTTACTAAATAAGCAATATTGTCCTTCCATGGAAGCCTATCATCCAGGACCACACCCAACCACTTCGCAGATACTTTTTACAAAACTTACGGATTCCTCCTGGTTGCTTGTTGACGTTTCGCCAATCATCCTTTTGGCCTCTTCAGAGCTTGACAGAAATAGTTTATTAAAAAAAAGAGTCTATTAAACTCCAGTTGGAACAATAGAAGATTTGGAACGTCGTGTCAGACAGGGTTTTCAACAACTTGATCCAAACGAAATTCAAAGGGCAACAGTTTCCAATATTATGATGTCTTAGAGCATATGGGTGTTATTTCAAGCATAATATCATGTTCTTTGTCATTAAAAATAATTTAAAACCGCTTTTCAGTATTTAACATTAGTTTTGTGTATAACAGTTTCTATGAATATTTATATGAATTTCGTGTTATATTTACTTATTTCAGCAAGCTAATAATGGAACATTAAGCTTGTTTATGTCAAAGACAAATTGACAAATGTTATTCCTTTAATTCGCTTTAATTGCCATATTTTGGTTTTTTGAATATAACTCGAAAACCAGTAAAAATAGGTATACTATATTTTGGGACTTTTAGATGGCAAATTAATTGCTCATTGTCAATGTAAAATATGAAGTATTCTATTTAAAATTCCTACGTAATATGGATTTTTATATCTTGCAGATTGAGCATTATCTTATGAGCGCCCTGTACGTGATAAGTTAATTCTCATACCATGTTATCATAAAGCAATTTAATAGGAAACCGCAATGAAAAACTCAAGTGTTTCACTGTGTGTTTGATATATCGAATTGATGGTGGCCAAACTTCTTAAAAACTAAAAATGTAATAATATACAAAAAAACAAAAGTTGATATGCGGCCAAAAATATTTTACATACATTTTATATATTCGCTTGCACAAATAACCAAAATTTCAGACCTAATAGGACACTCAACGTGAGTAACCCTGTATTTTGGGAAATAGTTTAAGGTTGTAATTTAAATATTTTAAAATTTTTCTTTCATTTACTAGTTCCATTGTGTGTGTAATTATTACGCCTGTGGTTTTTTATTTACCCCTTACCCTTTGCAAAAGAAGCCGGAAAGGTCCGACAAAGGATAGATAGACAGAAATATAAACGGATTTTGTTCCACTTCCAAAACACTTTTCTAAGCAAACTCGAGCGCCGTGATCGCGTTACGTCGAGGCGAAGTCCTTATTCGCGACGCATTAGGTGACAAAAGCCTTCCGGGCCGCCTTGTATACAACGTTTCGTCTGTGAATACCGCTCCCGCTCGAGATATCGACGAGAACATCTCGAGTTCGACATATTCGACGTGTTTATCCGGCAATAAAAGCCGATATAAGACACAAAAAAGCACTTGGGGCTTTTCCGCATTATTACTTTTTGGAGGGCCCCATTTTACGCGACCCGGAACTTCGCTCGCTTAAGAATTTAAGCGTATGCAAAGG